GCTGAGCTACAGAGTGGGTGGCACATAGAGTAAAGAAAAACAGTACACAAACAAAAAGGAGGCAATAGAAAACAGGAAATTAAGGATTCCTGATTTCTTATCTCTCCAGTAACATTCTTGAAATCAAAAATAATTTTTGCTCTTGAGAAGGAATCTGGGTATTTTACCACCATAGTGTACCACGTTCTAAGCGTATAACTCAGGTCCACAAATGAACAACATTTCGAGTTTGCAGGATCTTACTCCAATTGGTGATGAAACCACTCAGAGCAATTACTCATCTCTCTCCCTCAACTAGGGATTGGTTTGGTCAAGACCTTGATTAGTTCAATCAGCTGGTTTAGCACCGGGCCGCTGTAAAATCCCTCCAACACAATACAGCGACTGATCCAGGATCAGGATTGGCCGAGTCCAAGCATCGATTCCAAAGAATGTACAAAACAATGCCAGATTAACCGACGGACGCAAATCAAGGATATAATCCTCCGAGATCAGATTGTCTTTCTCACCTCCGCTCTAAACCCCCCACTGTTCAACATTACATAACCACTACCATTAAGCTTACAGTTTCATCCCCTCCTATCACTCACTGTTCACTGTTCAGACTCTCCTCTCATGGACATTCATAGGTGAAAAATCTATCGATGTGCCCTTGAGCAAGGCACCTAACCCTATTCAAATCAAATACTATTGGTCGCATACACATATTTAGCAGATGTTATTGCGGGTGTAGCGATATGTTTGTGTTCCTAGCTCCAACAGTGCAGTAATATCTAACAATACACACAAATCTAAAAGTACAAGAATGGAATTAAGAAATACATCATATTAGGATGAGCAATGTTGGAGTCCGGAGTATAAATACAGTATATACAGTACCAGTCAAAAGTTTGGACACACCTACTCATTCAAGGGTTTTTCTTTATTTTTACTATTTTCTACATTGTAGAATAATAGTGAAGACATCAAAACTATGAAATAACATATATGGAATCATGTAGTAAAGAAAAAAGTGTTAAACAAATCAAAATATATTTTATATTTGAGATTCTTCAAAGTAGCCACCCTTTGCCTTGATGACAGCTTTGCACGCTCTTGGCATTCACTCAACCAGATTCATGAGGTAGTCACCTGGAATGCATTTCAATTAACAGGTGTGCCTTGTTAAAAGTTAATTTGTGGAATTTATTTTCTTCTTAATGTGTTTGAGCCAATCAGTTGTGTTGTGACAAGGTAGGGGGGTATACATAAGATAGCCCTATTTGGTAAAACACCAAGTCCATATTATGGCAAGAACAGCTCAAATAAGCAAAGAGAAACAGTCTATCATTACTTTAAGACATGAAGGTCAGTCTATACGGAACATTTCAAGAACTTCGAAAGTTTCTTCAAGTGCAGTCGCAAAAACCATCAAGCGCAATGATGAAACTGGCTCTCATGAGGACCGCGACAGGAATGGAAGACCCAGTTAACTCTGCTGCAGAGGATAAGTTCATTAGACTTACCAGCCACAGAAATTGCAGCCCAAATAAATGCTTCACAAAGTTCAAGTAACAGACACATCTCAACATCAACTGTTCAGAGGGGACTGTGTGAATCAGGCCTTCATGGTTGAATTGCTGCAAAGAAACCACTACTAAAGGACACCAATAATAAGAAGAGACCTGCTTGAGGCATTATCAAGTGCTTCTCAAATTGTGAATGAGAGACTGACGAAGTGTGTACAGCCTGCGCAAAAAAACTAAGCAGAGCTCATGCCCTTCAAGCAACTTTTTTCAAATCATCATTAGAGTTGCATCATGCAGCCTTACAATGTATTAAAAATCAAAACATATAGCCCAACGTTTGTAGAACAACTAAAGTTACATTAATAACTCTAAATGAATCATATAGGAGTACCTATTTCTTTGTTAAATGCTCAACACAGAATAGCCGCATGTGCGCGCTACCTCAAATCGTTTGGAGAAAATATCCTTTCTATTTTATTCAGCTTTGTTCAATTGTATTCTTCATACTATAAATAATATAAAATAATGCCATGGAATTCTAAGCAAATCGTGTCTGCTAAATTAACTAGTGTAGCCCACAGCCATCTGGCATAGCCAGATCAGGACCTAACATAAGGATAACTCAGAGTATGCTATTCTGTTCTTCTGAAATAGACTACATTTTCTTCCTATCATGCTTCTTTAGACCTGTCTAAAATAAATAATGGGTTTATTGTGAAGGTGTAGGCTATATTACATGGATTTATTAGACTTTTTAAAATGTACAGTGGGGAAAAAAGTATTTGATCCCCTGCTGATTTTGTACGTTTGCCCACTGACAAAGAAATGATCAGTCTATAATTTTAATGGTAGGTTTACTTGAACAGTGAGAGACAGAAAAAACGAAATCCAGAAAAACGCATGTAAAAAATGTTTTTAAATTGATTTGCATTTGAATGAGGGAAATAAGTATTTGACCCTCTCTCAACCAGAAAGATTTCTGGCTCCCAGGTGTCTTTTATACAAGTAACGAGCTGAGATTAGGAGCACTCCCTTTAAGAGTGTGCTCCTAATCTCAGCTTGTTACCTGTATAAAAAACACCTGTCCACAGAAGCAATCAATCAATCAGATTCCAAACTCTCCACCATGGCCAAGACCAAAGAGCTCTCCAAGGATGTCAGGGACAAGATTGTAGACCTACACAAGGCTGGAATGGGCTACAAGACCACTACCAAGCAGCTTGGTGAGAAGGTGACAACAGTTGGTGCGATTATTCGCAAATGGAAGAAACACAAAAGACCTGTTAATCTCCCTTGGCCTGGGGCTCCATGCAAGATCTCACCTTGTGGAGTTGCAATGATCATTAGAACGGTGAGGAATCAGCCCAGAACTACACAGGAGGATCTTGTCAATGATCTCAAGGCAGCTGGGACCATAATCACCAAGAAAACAATTGGTAACACACTACGCCGTGAAGGACAGGTCCCCCTGCTCAAGAAAGCACATATATAGGGCCGTCTGAAGTTTGCCAATGAACATCTGAATGATTCAGAGGAGAACTGGTCTCAAAACCTTAAAGATCTGCAAAGAGGAGTGGAACAAAATCCTTCCTGAGATGTGTGCAAACCTGGTGGCCAACTACAAGAAACGTCTGACCTCTGTGATTGCCAACAAGGGTTTTTCCACCAAGTACTAAGTCATGTTTTGCAGAGGGGTCAAATACTTATTTCTCTCATTAAAATGCAAATCAATTTATAACATTTTTGACATGCGTTTTTCTGGATTTTTTTGTTGTTATTCTTTCTCTCACTGTTCAAATAAACCTACCATTACAATTATAGACTGATCAGGTCTTTGTCAGTGGGCAAACGTACAAAATCAGCAGGGGATCAAATACTTTTTTCCCTCACTGTAGATGTTCGAAAGGTCAGCATTAGTGGCTTGTAGGATATGTGTGGAAGCCAGGAGATGCTAAATGTGTTTATGTTAATTAACGGTCAACTACCGTGAGACCAACAGTTATTTGCGTGACAATCACCGGCTGACGAAATTTCGTGACCGCCACAGCCCTTTGCAGCAGTCTCTAAGGTGCATGGTAGAATAACCGGGTGGTAGATGGCTAGTGACAGTGACTAAGTTCAGGGCAGGGTACTGGGTGGAGGCTGGCTAGTGATGGCTATTTAACAGTCTGATGTCCTTGAGATAGAAGTTGCTTTTCAGTCTCTCGGTCCCAGCTTTGATGCACCTGTATTGACCTCGCCTTCTAGATGATAGCGGGGTGAACAGGCAGTGGCTCGGGTGGTTGATGTCCTTGATGATCTTTTTGGCCTTCCTGTGACATTGGGTGCTGTAGATGTCTGGGCCGGCAGCCTTGCGACGGTTAACACGCTTAAATGTCTTACTCATGTCGGCCACGGAGAACGAGAGCACACAGTCCTCGGGAGCGGCACACATCGGTGGCACTGTGTTATCCTCAAAGCGGGCGAAGAAGGTGTTTAGCTTATCCAGGAGCAAGACATCGGTTTCTGCGACGTGGCTGGTTTTCCCTTTGTAATCCGTGATTGTCTGGAGTCCCTGCCACATATGTCTCATGTCTGAGCCGCTGAATTGCGACTCCACTTTGTCTCTGTACTGACATTTTGCCTGTTTGATTGCCTTGCGGAGGGCATAACTGGACATTTTGCCTGTTTGATTGCCTTGCGGAGGGCATAACTGGACTGTTTGTATTCGACCATATTCCCAGTTACCTTGCCGTGGTTAAATGCGGTGGTTTGCGCTTTAAGTTTTGCGCGAATACTACCATCTATTCACGGTTTTTGGTTTGGGTAGGTTTTAATCGTCACAGTGGGAACAACATCCCCTATACACTTCCTTATGAAGTCGGTCACCGTGTCAATGTATACGTCAATGTTTTTCTCAGAGGCAACCCGGAACATGTCCCAGTCCGTGTAGGTCGCTTAGGATAAGAGTGTCTGCTAAATGACTCAAATGTAAATGTATTTACTGTATTTATATTGACATTCATAGGCAATCAATATCAATGGTGTAGTCTTATGTCCCAAAAGAGCCTTCAGGTTAATTTCTTCCTTCCAGACCTGGGTTCAAGTACTATTTTAAATCATTTCAAATACTTTATTTGTGCTTAATAGTAGAATAGTTCCAGAACTGCAAACCCTTCCCATCTGGCAGGTATTTGAAAGATTTCAAATAGCATTTGAACCCAGGTATGCTTCCATACATTCTAGGGTATGAAAGATGTTGAAAAGGAAGAGGTGTCATTGCAGTAGGCCAACAGGATGTGATCTAGATGGGCTTTTTCTCAATTGGCCTTTCGCCATTCCTTGCTCCTTGCTTCCTTCCCAACCATATTGGAGAAGAAGCTCCAAGGTCCCTTCCCTTGCACCTTCTTCTCCAATGCCTTTTGAGAAAAAGGGGTGACGAGACGATGCAAGGTATTATGTAAAGATTAAATGAGAAAGGAGTGGGTGAGGAGTGAAGATGACTACTTACTTGGCGAGTTTCATCTCGATCTGCTGGCGTATATCCTGACGCTCCTGTTCGGTCCGTGCTGGGAAGATATTCCGGTCTTCCAGCTCCTCCTTGCTGGGTCGATTCCGAAGCTTCACTGTCAACAGCTCCTTCCTTAGCCTGCTCGGTAGTGTACCTGCACACACACACACAAAGGACTTCAGCGATCACTTCGAAGGACAGAAACCTAACCTAAAATGTTCACATGCAAGTAAAACCTTCTTGTAAATCATGTGGACATCTCAAGTTTAGGAGAGTCCATAATGCCCCCCAAAAACAAAACAAGTTTTTTAAATGTGTCGTCTTAAAACTGCACTGTCTGCCATTTGTGTCTGTCTGTTTTCCCCCCAAAGTTTAGCCCAAATGAAAGTCTATTCTTGAGTTGTTATATATCGCTTGGGAATTTGTTTAACAAGGGGGATATCATTAATCTATGTTGTTCGTTTGGTGGATTTCATTGTATGCAATCTTTCCTTTAAGAAAGGACACACCGGAGATGACAGAGTCGTTCCAGTCGTCCTGATCGTGGGGGAGGCCCGAGCTGTCGGAGAAGCACTGGTCCAGCCGCACGTTCTCCTTGTTCTCCTCTGCCTCCTTCTTCCTCTCTGCTTGGTGGAGCCAGTCGACAATGCCGCCACCCACCGCCGACTGATTCTCCGAGCTTGTGGAGCGAGAGATCCGCCCGTCAGAGCGCCGCCATGGGGGCGAACCCGGCTCAGCAGGCCCATGCACACTGAGGGGACACGGGAGGGAAGAGAGAGCATGGGGGTTAACAGGACAGGAGGGGGTTAATGGATGGGTGAGCAAGGCAGTGCAGGTTAGTATGGGAGGTAGCATTGGGTCAATTTGAAAGGGAACATAGAGGTAGGCGTTAACATGGATGGGTGAGCATGTGGTGAAGATACCATAGTGAAAATGCAACATGGCGGATATAAGCTGATCGACTGTAACATCACTGAAAGGGATCATGTTGAGGTTAGATGTGGGGTTGAACATTAAATAACACTTTACTCAACATCAGTAGGTATTGTAAGACATGAGAATGTCTGGCCGCATGTGTGACCGTGTTTATAATGTCTTATCATCGTCTCATAATGAGCCTGACTAAATACCAGCCATTTTGAGTCAGTGGAACTGTTGATACAGAGAGACCTAACATATTATAATACGATTTATTGTAAGACATTATAAAGGCTCATATATGCTTATAACATGTTATAAAGCATTCTACCCACAGGCTTTAAGTGTTAGCAAACATTAGAGACAACATGAACTCCTGATCACATCATTGGTGAGATTATATGGCTGTTTGCAGTGAATGGGTGTGCTGCTCACCTTTCCTGTCGGTTCGCCTTAGAGGCAAAGGCTCGTTGTAGTTCCTCCATGATACAGCTAGGGGGCATTGGAGGATGCATAATATTGGTGAGGTGAGGAGACCCTGCGGGGTTGGAGAGGGGCCCTCGCAGGGCCACCATGGGGACCAGGCTCTCGGGAGCCCTGGGAGGCTCCTTAGGCAGGAAAGAGTTGGCCAAGTGTGAGGACACAGGGGATGGGTCTGAGAGGCAGAGAAAGACAAAGGTCAGGTATCTACTTTACTTTGTTTTTGTTTATGCATATATGTGTATAGATGACCATACGTACAATATAGTAACTGATAACAATGATGTATATATGATGTAATGTATTACAGTTGACTCCAAATGAAATATTGTACTTTGTTTGCCTATGACAGCATAGTGTCTCAAAACTATTTGAGTGGTCGACAATGGGTACGTTTACATGCACAGGAATAATTCGATATGGCAGTAGGCAGATTTTGCAATAGTCATGTAAACACCTTACTCGGCTTATCTTAATTGGCGTAAAGTCAGAAACGAAGTAAGCAATCTTTCAAATTGTTAGGACATGTAAACACCTTAATCGGCATTCCAGCGGTGTATTTGATCTGTGTATGTGCTAGCACCAGCCGAGCGAGCTTCCCTCCTTTAGCGCGAGTGAAGTGAGTTCGGAACAACTGAATATATGCATCTTAGAAGTAGTTTTCACATACAAACTTTATATGTCCGAATCAAAATATGGTCGCTGTTGTAGAACATTTCTTTTGATTAGTGATTTTCTGCATTTATCAGAGTGCCATCAGGTAGCCTGATTTCAGATGTATGCATGTAAACAGGATTATTAGGGAATTCGGTCCTCTTGCAAAGCATGTCAACGTTTTAATCGAACTATTATATTAATCTGACTATCCACAATAATCGCATTATTGTGTGCATGTAACCATGCTCAATGTGAATTTTAAAAACTCTAACTCTAGTGGTGTGGGTGGTCCACATCGCCATCCTCTTCATGCACAGATGTGTGATCCTTTGGTGTGTTGTGTACAGTATATGTAGCAGATGTCAGCTAGTTAGCTGTGTGTGCTAGTAGTACCCATCATGCCGTGACAAAGTAGTGTTACCCTTGGCCAAACAAAGCTATTGGTAAGGTAATGGTAGGAAGGAAGCATGCTAGCTTTTGTTGTTTTGTGTCATTGTTGATCGAATCCTGGCCGGCCGTACAAGGATGGTCTCCGTCACATACTTGTACATGTGGGGTACACACTACCCTTGTCTGAGAGTGCAGTGCAGTACATGATGGTCCCTTCCTTTTAGTACACTCCACCAGGGTCAATTCCATTTCAATTCAATCGATTCCAATTATTCTCAATGCTTTTCTATGAGGAAAAATTGGAATCGGAATGTCAGTTTACAACCTGAATGGACTGAGTTCGATTCGAATTGACGCCTACCCTGGTACACTCCACTCCACTAGCCTACTCACCCTCGCCACTGCTCAGCTGTGGCATCACCGGTTTGGCCGCTACTGGAGGTGGCGTGGTTCCCCGAGGTATTTCCTCTTCTCGGGTCTCCTCCGTCTCCTCCGTCTCCTCTACGCCCTCCTGGACCTCCCCGGAGGCATTGGCACCAGGCTGCGCCTCCTCTTCTCCCTCCTCTTCTTCTGTGTTCTGACAGCTCTCCTCCTCTGGCTCACAATCCTCTGGAGGCTCAGCCGCTGAAAGACATTCGTTTAATTAATTAAGTTGAATCAAAGTTGAATCAGGTACCATCAGGACACCATTCACAGTGAGATAGTTGTTGTCAGTGAATGAACGATGCTATTATAAATACCATTCTGGTTGTTTTTACATTTTCTTCATTGCCCCCTAGTGGCTCATGTGAGTATCATGTGGCTAAACATAACCTCCTTTGAATAATATGTACAGTATAAGTACATGAATATGAAAATGGTGATCTCTCCATATCATACATCATGTATCTTGAGTGTTGCCTATGGTAAATACTGTCAAAACATAATAAATAATTGTTCACAATTATAAACAAAAAATTAAATAGTGGTTAGAAGATATATATATATTCCCTTTGACATGCCTATTAACGATTATCAAAGATACACACTAAGGATTCAGTCGAATTCCATGGCTCTCTGTAAGTTTGATTACTCTGAAATGCGTCCACAACTGGCAAAAGCAATACGGTTGATGGTAGACTTCATCATATTGCTCTCGGCTATCCTATCCTGTGTCAAATAATGAATCTTCTTCGACAGGAGGACAAAGTAGAAAAGGTGAAATTCAGTACTTTCGGCTCATGTTCATAATTTGATCTCGAATCCAGAATGCTGGAGTATAGAGCCCCCCCAAAAATGTAGCTTCACTGTCCAAATACTGAGGACTGTAGCTCCACCTTGCCCTATGACAGGCTAGGACGTGGAAGTTTCATCATATACAGTATACCAATCAAATCCTCTCAGATCTCCATAAATGCATAATAAACGGTAGGATCTAGGCGCCGATTTGGGATTGGGCCTTAACTTTCTTTGTAGGGTTGTTGGGCCGTCCTACCTGGCGGGGGGAGTTCCTCCTCTGGGCCCAGGTACTCCACACTGCTGACCGTGAGAGTGGCGCTGAGCGACCCCCCAAAACTCCCCAACATGCCTGTCCCGTCTGAGGAGCCCTGCAAGGGGGAGCCAGGCTCGGGAGAGATACACCCACTGGACAACGCCACATCTGCAGAGAGACAACATACAGGGCTTAGTCTGCAGTATTTTACAAGTGTTACCCTCTATGTTACGCTCATGGTCTCCATAGCGTGACTACATTACATTATTTCCATATTGGGTCATTCCATTTGTTGTCATTCACCTTTTGACCGCACCCCTTTAGATTTGAACAACATTTTCCATACACATTTGCACGTGGTAGAAATTGTCAGAAAGTGACATTCTGGACCCGAATGCAAAAACATTCAGGAGATAGAGGTGCTCAAAGTTGACCCATTTTGCATACCCCACCATACCATGATACATCCATGTCTTCATCAATTCATCTCAGAGCATTTTGTATTATTCTGTACATTCTGAGACACTCCATTTAGTATGATATGTTACGAATTACAATTCGTATTATATGTTCCGAATTAGCAAAACATACACTATGTTCCAAATTTGCCAAAATGATTTGTTATGAACGGCTAACATTAGCTAGGCTAGGGGTTAGGGTTACGTTTAGGAGTTAGGTTAAAGGGTTAGGGTTAGCTAAAAGGGTTAAGGTTAGGGGAAGGGTTAGCTTAAATGGTTAAGGTTAGGGAAGAGTTAGCTAACATGCTAAGTAGTTGCAAAGTAGCTAAAATGCTAAAGTTGTCCGTGATGAGATTCAAACTTGCAGCCTTTGGGTTGCTAGACGTTCGCGTTATACACCCACCCATTTTGTTTCTGTATATGTTGTAGCTTAGACCCTAATTTACATCACCTGAGGTGTTTGTGTTGTGCCTGCAATCGGTTGAGACTTAGCATACTCTTGAATAGAGGGTTGGAGTCATGTTTTAGCTGATAAATGTGCTAAAATGGGAATACAATTAACATTACAACTTTCAAATTGTACCACAAAGATGGTTGGAAGTCCACACATCAGAGAATGTTGACTTGAGTGGGAAAATTTTTTTTTTAAATTATACTGTCAACCTTCCATAGGAAACCTATTGAAAGTCATAGAAATATAGATAATAGAATATACATTTGCATTTAAGTTGACATTTGACGGTGGGTAGCCATCTTTGTTGTAGTAATTGGTGGTTAAAATTTCAATTCGATTTCAATGTCAATGGTGTACCAGCTAAATTGTAGTGGCCTGAAGGGATAGGTCCATTCTATGAATTATATTTCTATGACTGAAATGACACGCACCCTGTATTCATGGGAAAGCAGCTGTGTCTCAACCGATTACTGGCACAACACAAACACCTCAGGTGATGTAAATTAGTGTCCAAGCTACAACATATGCGAAAATGAAAAACATTGGATTTTACGCGTTAAGAAAATTGATGTTAAAAGAAATGATAAAATAGTTTGACTAACCTGATTGTAAGCTTTTAAATTATATCAAACTAAACCGTTAATCTTTTCCAGTGATGAAGACATGGATGTCTCATGGTATGGTGGGGTATGCTCAACTTTGAGCACCTCTATCTCCTGAATGTTTTGGCATTCAGTTACAAAAAGTCACTTTCTGACCACTTTTACCATGGGGAAATATGTATGGCAAGTTTCGTTTAAATCAAAATGGCTGCGGTCAAAAAGTGATTAATATCAAATGGAACGACCCTATTCTGAAATGGCTTCCTTTCCTCGTGTCCTTTCTTTCATTACCCCTGATCTGACAGAATTGGAGAGTCCTATTTGGGGTCATGGTAAGTTGAGATAGAGGAAGCCATTTTAAAGATTTGGGGCATTACTCAAGTCCTTTTACTCATAATCTGCTACGCCCGCTCTCTCTTTTCCCCCCATCTCTGTCTCTCTCTCTCTCTCTCTCTCTCTCTCTCGCTCACCTGTGGAGCTCTGCTTCAGCTTCTCATTTTTCTTTTTCCTCCACTTCCAGGGTTTGAAGATGCGCCCCAGGCTGGCCAGCTTGCTGTTGCGGCGGATGGGCGGGGTGTGCACCCCCGACACCAGGCAGCCAGTATGCAGCACCCTCTGATGGTCCATCACCTCCACTGCAACCAGAGAGGTGTGTAGTAGACAGGGAGTATGGAGCGAGTGGGAGACAGGAAAGAGAGAGGGGGGAGGCAGAGTGGAAAATAGGGGGAGGTAGAAAAGAGAGAGGGGGAGAGAAAGGGAAACGGTGTAAGAAAGAGAGAGGGGAAGAGAAGAGAGGGGTAGAGAGGGAGGTGGAGGTAAGGGTGGAGAGAAGAAGAGAGATACATGTGCAGGGAGAGAGATATTAGTTAACAGTGAATTATGCAAATCATGTCATGGTGTGAATGTTCACCCTATTCATTATGCAAATTACCTCCTACTTTAAATAAATTGATTTGAATTAACATATGGTTTCCCTATATCTCTCCCCTTTAAGACTAGAGAAAGAAACTCTACAGCAAGACTCTACAGCTACTAACGATGGAGCACTGAATATAGAAGCCACAGCTCCCAAGAGCAAAACAGGTGCATCAATCCAAACAAGTTTCTCATGAAGGCATAACCAGAGTATTTACAGAAAAAATGCCTCTCCATCTATTTTCTGATCCTCTGTTATTAAGCCAGATGACAAGGGCATATTGTTGAGAGAGCGAGAGAGAGCGAGAGCGAGAGAGCGAGAGCGAGAGAGCGAGAGCGAGAGAGACAAAACGACATAGATAGATATGGCACAGACTGATTTGATTAGCTGACCACAGTGATTGATTTGACATCACTACATCAACAGCTCCTCAATATCAGAAGAGAACCAAGTTTCATTGAATTATTGCGTGAGTCACACAGCCACAGGCCCACACAACAGCTGCACTGATGTACATATAGTCTTGCTGATGTGTTGTGTTCACATTCAATCACAAACAAACAGGGTAGATACTTTTTCCACATTTTGTTATGTTACAACCTTATACTTAAAACGGATTAAATTGTTTTTTCTTCTTCATCAAACTACACACAATACCCCATAATGACAAAGCAAAAACAGGTTTTTAGAATGTTTGGCAAAAATTAAAAACACGGAAATATCAAATTTACGTAAGTATTCAGACCCTTTACTCAGTACTTTGTTGAAGCACCTTTGGCAACGATTACAGCCTAAGAGTCTTCTTGGGTATGACACTACAAGCTTGTGCACACCTGTTTTTGGGGAGTTTCTCCCATTGTTCTCTGCAGATCCTGAATGCCAAGCGTCACTTCTGGAGGAAACCTGGCACCATCCCTACGGTGAAGCACGGTGGTGGCAGCATCATGCTGTGGGGATGTTTTTCAGCAGCAGGGACTGGGAGACTAGTCAGGATCAAGGGAAAGATGAACAGAGCAAAGTACAGAAAGATCCTTGATGAAAACCTGCTCCAGAGTGCTCAGGACCTCAGACTGGGGCAAAGGTTCACCTTCCAACAGGACAACGACCCTAATCACACAGCCAAGACAACGCAGGAGTGGCTTTGGGACAAGTCTCTGAATGTCCTTGAGTGGCCCAGCCAGAGCCCGAACCCGATCGAACATCTCTGGAGAGACCTGAAAATAGCGACGCTCCCCATCCAACCTGACAGAGCTTGAGTGGATCTGCAGAGAAGAATGTGAGAAACTCCCCAAATACAGGTGTGTCAAGCTTGTAGCGTCATACCCAAGACTGCCAAAGGTGCTTCAACAAAGTACTGAGTAAAGGGTCTGAATACTTATGTAAATGTGATATTTCAGTTTTTTTTTTTTTATACATTTGCAAAGATTTCTACAAACCTGTTTTCGCTTTGTCATTATGGAGTATTGTGTGTAGATTGATGACACATTTATTTTATTTAATCCATTTTAGAATAAGGCTGTAACGTACATTTTCTTGGAAAAAGTAAAGGGGTCTCAATACTTTCCGAATGCACTGTACATAGGAAATGTACAGTAAATAGACCAGAAAGAATCCAAGCGGCAAACATTAGCTTGACTAAACCCACTACAACAGGAACAGGCAGGAGGCAGACATTTTGGTTTCTCTATTCAGTACAGGCTACAGAGGTTTTCATCAAAACAGGGGGAAAATGACTGGAAAACCTCAGTTCACTGTGGAACTGGGTGTTGTTGGAGTACAGTGGAGGAGAGGGAGGGTGGATAGAGCCCCGATGCCGTGTGCAACATGCCTCTCTCGCTCTCTCTCTCTCTCTCTCTCTCTCTCTCTCTCCAAATGCATGGGATGGGATGAGATGTGGGGGAGAAGTGGGCTCTGGCGTTTGACATCCAAATAATGGAGAAACGAGTCAGTTGACCGGCGCGCACGTCCTCCCGACTAACCGTCAACCAGCACACAACGGAATCCAGGTCAAGCCTGAAGACGCGAGGCGGCGAGCATGAGCACAGCAAGATTAGAGAAGGGGGGAGGAGGGGATAGGAGGTAGAAAGGAAGGGTGGGGGGGGGGGGGTATTTCTGTTACCATGGCGACAACATCCAGATGCTGCAGTCAGTCGGTGGAGAGGAGCCTCCTTGGAGGCAGAGCAGCCCAAGTGCATGCAGGGAAGGGGGTAAGCAGCATGGAGGAGGTCAGTGAGTAGAAAAGGGGAGGGGGGGGGGGCTAGGTGGGAGGGAGGAGAGGAGAGTTGAGGGGGGATTCTAGGCTGTTGCCATACGGAAGGAGAATCTCCAGCAGCCAATCAGAGCCCAGCAATTCATAATGTATATCTAGTATTTCTACATTTTCCATAGAAGGAAACCTGTTTTAAAAAATGGAGTAACAGATAACATTGAATTTGGAGAAATCTCAGCCTTTTTTTTTCACCGGATGGGGATATATTAAAAAGTATGTAAAATGTCCATCATGAATGGGCTGTACCACATGTGGTGAACAATACGATGTCAATGAATATGCTAATGTGAATTTGGATTAATTCAATCCATGTATTGTGTTTAGGCAGCGCCCCATTTCTTTGCAGTAATGTACATAGTCCAACAAACATGGTCTACAGTATGTTTTAGTCTTCCAGCTATTGCGAGTGTTTAGCCTACAAGTGCTAAAAGTCTGGAACCCTTACCTACCAATCAAATTTAGGCAAAATATATTTTGTGTGAAAGAAAGGGGGGATTTTATGATTGCATAATAAGAAGTGTTCAAAATAGATATTTTCATGCATGATTGACAGTGTTGTGAGGTTACTGCTGTACTGTCACAATAAAACAATGAAAAACAACCATACAACATAGTTTGCATCTTATATAGGCATTATTATGTTGTAATGCATACCCTGTTAGTGTGGAAGCGGTGGTAACCAAGGGTTCTTCAAATTGTGTGATTATCGTCACAACAATGTTGCCCTGCTGACTGGTCAAGATGAACTACCTCACTGTTCACACACTTGAAGACCAGAGTCATGTTCCTAAGGCACCAAATGGAAGAAAACAGATTGAAACAGGGAGGGACTAGTTAGACTAGTGCAATAATAAATGCTGGTTTTCCAATGCAGATCATTTTAAAATGTGTTCTGCTGTGTGCCCTAATGAACACGATCCTGCTCCGTATTTGGTGCTACTTAGCTTGCCTTTCCCTGCCATATCTCAGTCAATCATTACACTGAGTGAGATACTGCCAGCTGTAACAAATCATTGCAATTAATTTACAGCTGTCTCTCTAATGACAAAAGTAAACTGACATAAAACATGACTGACAGCATGCATGACAGACACGGTTGTAACTGAAGGTCTGTTGTCCTAAGGTGGAGTTGAAAGGTGGGCTGTTCATAGGTGCAATGACATAAGGAGACTAAACATATGCCTTATGAGCGTATTTCAAGGGCATTGTTGATGGACACTTCATGGTGCAATGTCACAGTCGATGGAGGTCACACTCACACCATATACAGTGGCTTGCGAAAGTATTCACCCCGCTTGGCATTTTTCCTATTTTGTTGCCTTACAACCTGGAATTGATTTTTGGGGGGGTTTGTATCATTTGATTTACACAACATGCCTACCACTTTGAAGATGCAAAATATTGTTTTGTGTGAAACAAACAAGAAATAAGACAAAAAAACGGAAAACTTGAGCGTGCATAACTAATACTTTGTAGAGCCACCTTTTGCAGCAATTACAGCTGCAAGTCTCTTGTGGTATGTCTGTAGCTCATTTGGTAGAGCATGGCGCTTGTAATGCCAGGGTAGTGGGTTTGATCCCCGGGACCACCCATACGTAAAAATTAATGCACACATGACTGTAAGTCGCTTTGGATAAAAGCGTCTGCTAAATGGCATATTATTATTATAAGCTTGGCACATCTAGTCACTGGGATTTTTGCCCATTCTTCAAGGCAAAACTGCTCCAGCTCCTTCAAGTTGGATGGGTTCCGCTGGTGTACAGCAATCTTTAAGTCATACCACAGATTCTCAATTGGATTGAGGTCTGGGCTTGACTAGGCCATTCCAAGACATTTAAATGTTTCCCCTTAAACCACTCAAGTGTTGCTTTAGCAGTATGCTTAGGGTCATTGTCCTGCTGGAAGGTGAACCTCCATCCCAGTCTCAAATCTCTGGAAGACTGAAACAAGTTTCCTCAAGAATTTCCCTGTATTTAGTGCCACCCATCATTCCTTCAATTCTGACCAGTTTCCCAGTCACTGCAGATGAAAAACATGGTGTTCTCGGGGTGATGAGAGGTGTTGGGTTTGCGCCAGACATAGCGTTTTCCTTGATGGCCAAAAAGCTCAATTTTAGTCTCATCTGACCAGAGAACCTTCTTCCATATGTTTGGGGAGTCCCCCACATGCCTTTTGGCGAACACAAAACGTGTTTGCTTATTTTCTTCTTCAAGCAATGGCTTTTTTCTGGCCACTCTTCTGTAAAGCCCAGCTCTGTGGAGTGTACGGCTTAAAGTGGTCCTATGGACAGATACTCCAATCTCCGCTGTGGAGCTTTGCAGCTCCTTCAGGGTTATCTTTGGTCTCTTTGTTGACTCTCTGATTAATGCCCTCCTTGCCTGGTCTGTGAGTTTTGGTGGGCGGCCCTCTCTTGGCAGGTTTGTTGTGGTACCATATTCTTTCCATTTTTT